CAGCGCTGACTCTTTCGAAGAACTTTTGCACCCAAGACCAAGCAAACACTGGAATTCCACCTTTTTCCAATCCTACACAACCACAACATCGTGCTGATACTAATGATAGCTCTAGTACAAGATCAGGAGACTCACCTACCACCGGAGGTGGGAATGATGAAGGACATAGTGGAGCTGGAGGTAGTGGAGCTGGAGGTAGTGGTGGTGGATATGGAAACTATTATGGACCACCACCTCCCGGATATATATGAGCCCCTTTACTGGTGAGGCAAACTTCACGCATGCAACACAGGATGATGACCATGGCAGTAGGCGGGCAGGACCAGGAATTGGTGTCATAGGGAAGGACTATACTCGCAGAGAAAGAGGCAAAGGGATTTTGTCAAGTCAAGAAGATGACTCGTTATCTAGAACTTCAGACTCTGTTGGATTGGGAAGTAGTAACTATGGTTATACTCATAACCAACCATTTCCCTACCCTTCATATCCCATTCCTGTTGGGATGGAATCGAGCGACTCATAGAAACAATCCCAGCCTCAATCTTCAAATGATTTTTCTTATGGACAACCTCAACCAATCTCAGATCCATATGGGTGGCATATTAACAATTACATGCAAAACTATTTTGGGGATTTATCATTTGATAACTACTCTTCACAATACACTCATTCTACACATAGAGATGATGAAGATAGTGACAAATTTGAACCTCATAGGAACTCTATGTGGTACTAAAGTGTAAAATATTGTACTAATTCATTATATATAAATGATTATGGTGTGTTTAGACTTCTTTCATTAATTACTACATATTTTCTACACTCATAATGTTTGTCAGATCGCTATATAATCAACTTGATAATGTTAAATCCATCATGCAATGCATTTCCTTCCAATTTTTTGTGATAAACTAATAGATAATTGACTAAATAAACATCCTACAAAGTTTCAATAAAAATTTCTAAGTTTTTCTTACAATTTCCGTGGTTTCCATGTAATTTTTATCGATATCGATATTTTATCGATATTTCCATCGATATTTCCGTGTTTTCGGACTACCTATATTTCCGATATCACCGATATTTTCTTCCTTGGTGTGATGTGTGGATGTATGTATCCCTCAAAGGATGGGATCCTTTTAACTTTTGCTTCTTGGTTTTTTCGAGGGAAGGGTGATAGAAAATTTATAAATGTGTGTTGTGATATGTGGATGTATGTATCCCTCAAAGGATGAGATCCTTTTCGGTTACTTTTTGGGAAAATTTTAAGAATTCTCGTAATCTAGGCGTTGATTATATATTGTGCAATCAATTTTCGTCAGATATTATTTTATTTAATTTTAAATAAAAAAATTTAAATAATTTATAATCGCACAATATACGATGATTGACTAAGATATAAAGATTCCTAAAATATTAAAAAAATATGCTCTCCGAATTCCTTCCTCCTAATCCACCAAATTAGAAAATTTATCCCTAGAATCTCATCTGCTCTCTTTGCCTTCTTCTCCATCTCCTCTTTGATCTTCATTTTCGGTACCTGATTCCACACTGGTTGCAGACAGACCGTACAAAAAGAGCATCCAATTTTAAATGGATTTTATTCTTAGTAAAAATTCAATTTTAAAGGCTTTTATTCTTTAAAAAAACATCCAAATTATTAAAAGCTTGAATGTCTCAAGCTCATCCATTATTCTTGAAATTCTCCGTAACCTTTCCTGCTAAAAAAAAAAAAAGTAGATAACTATGATTTGTCACCAATTACTTCTCTTTAAAGAAAAAAAAAATGCTTTACTTAAGGCTTATTGATGCTAGCCAACAAGGCTTTTATCTCAGCGGCTCTCTGTCTTCATTTCCATCTCCTCTTTGATCTTCACTTTCGGTACCTGATTCTTCACCAGTTGCCGACAGAGAGACTGCAAAAAAAATAAATAAAATAAAAAATAAAAAAATCCAATTATAAAGGCTTTTATTCTAACAGAGCATCGAATTTTGAAGGCTTTTTATTCTTAAAAAAAACATCTCTCAAGCTCATCCATTATTCTCCAGTATTATTAACCCAAACCCAAATTCTTAAGGCTCTTTTTTTTTTTTTTTTTGGAAGATAAATGCTTAAGGCTTTTATTCTTAAGTGAAGCATCGAATTTTAAAGGCTTTTATTCTTGAAAAAGCATCCAAATTATTAAAGTTTATTCTTGAAAAAGCATCCAAATTATTAAAGCTTAAAATGTCCCAAGCTCATCGATTATTCTCCATTATTAAAGCTTAACCCAAACCCAAATGCTAAAGGCTTATTGATGATAGACAACAAATAACTCATTGTTTAACTCACATCACCACATACGTCACAATGCATCACAAAGTAAATTATTAGAACTAGACAAGTGTTGTTATTGGACTCACACTCAAAATATAATTATCATGCATTTCTCTCTAAATAATAAACGAAAATAAGAAATGAGTGGGTGCAAAATGACTATATTGGAATGCTAACAGTAATTCCTCTTCTTTTTTTCGGCTCAAATATGACACGTGAATAGTTTAATCTAATGTTAATTAGAATATGAGCATCCAAAACATAACTAATTGGGACATGAACGTCTAACTTGTATAAATTAGTCTTTCGATTTAGGAAAGTTCCATCCCTCCATAAAAACATTGTCATAAGTTGGGATATTTTTGTCTAACAAATATAAATTTGCAATTCTACTTTTATAAGAGGGAAGAAAAAACTGCAAATTAATCTCTTCACATTGTTCCAAAAGGAACTTCATGCATAACTTTCAGGTACGTACAACAAAACAAACAGCTTTGACAAAACTGGTTTTCATAAGCTCTTCAGTACACCATTCTCATAACTTTTGTTGAAAAGAAAAAGGATTGACAAAAAATGGAGACTATCGGACGGGTGCACGAGATACTGTCTCTTCAGTTACCCGTCTTTCTCTTCTTTGACCTTTTTGCCCGAGGTTTTGCATTCTGTTTTGAATTATCTGTAGAGTGTTTCGGCTTCGAAGGAGCTGGTTTCTCCATTTCATCTTCTTCAGCCGAAAAGGTGTCACTTAAAGACCCGTCTTCTCCATCAGAACTGAGTACCAACTCCTGAACAGTATCTTCATCCATGGCAACTTGGTCCTGGCGCTCAGTCCTGGTAACCAGGACGAACTAAAGACAGCAGTGCCTTCCTCGTCCCTGGTGCCATCTTCATCGCTTTCTCGTCCTTTACTTCCAAACACAGATGAATGCTCGCCCACAAGGACACTGGAACCAATTAGCATGTTAGATAATGGAACACTAAACATGGTACTGTGGAAATGAAATCAATAGACAACGCGATCTCAGACCTGGAATATTCCGGCAACGAAGCATTTCTTTGTTGTGCTACTTCACGTAGAGTTGCAACGTACCTAGACAGAGGGCTAGCCCCTGACTTCTTCTCATCTTATGACAATATACAAGGACTTCAGTTTCTCCCAGATGATATCAAAGTAAAACGAAATGACAATATACAAGGATTTTGTTAAAGACACTGATAGACATAACACTGAAGTCCAACAAATGACTCGTCCTCTTCATTAGGGAATGACTAGTACTCAATTTCCCATGTTCTTTAATGGCGTTGCACCAGGAATCAACCATTTCACTCGTAACAACTTCTTTAGATTGTTTCTTTTTCTTTTGTGTAACATCATCACCGTCTTCGTCTGCTTCTATCTCATCATCTTGTGTTTCAGATTCTTTCATGTTAGCATCATTAACTTCGTGACTTAAAAGTCCGATTCCAGAAAGAAACACAAATGATCATGTTCTTATATAATCAAGCAAAAGGTTACTTATTTAACCTAACTAGAAGGTAACTCCTATATTTTATATAAGCAAAAGGTAACTTATATAATCAAGCGAATGGTAACTCCTATATTTTATATAATCAAGAAAACAGAAGGTATAAATTGACGCAATTTACAACGTTTTAGTACTATTTTAGAAAATTAAAACGCCATAATTCATTCTGAAAACGACTCAAAACCTAAAGTAAAAAGGTAACTTGTTTGGGCTTGGGCTTCTACTAACCGAGATTTTGGGCTCGGATTGGACTCTGGAGTCCCCACATATAAGCTTTTGGGCTGTTGGGCTTCAAGTTTTGTTCCCCGTTGATACCGAGGTGAACACGTGAGAGTCGCGTGCGTAACGCCCCCAAGAAAATACAGCCAAATTACTGACTCGGTGACTCCCCTGTGGATCCCACTCTCTGAATCCGTGCTCGGAATATTGACGAGTGTTTGGAGTAGTTTCACTACACAACACAAATCCCATGCAATGGTTTCGTCCTTACTATGTATGTGTCAACCATCCCATTAATTGTAACCGAAATAAAAAAAATCCTCTCCTTCAAAGTTCAAATTCTCCTCCTATTTGAACAATTATGATTAAATTACGTTAATATTATGTGTTTATTTTTTCTAGAGAGAGAAAGACAAGAAAAAACGTGAGATTAGAAAGGAGAGAAGGGAAGAAGATTTGAAGGGGAAAAAAATCCTATTATTCAAAAGAATGCAACTTTTATTCGTCTCCATTTACCCCAAAAGAATGCGTTGGAATGCAACTTTTATTCATCTCTAGTTGTAATGTTCGTTAAATAAACCATCTTTTCGGATATTTTTTGTAAATTATGTGACCTGGTGGTTCATAGTTGGATTATTTTCTTAGTGATTTAAAAAATTAATCAACTGTCAAACATTTCATCATATAATTTATAAAATGTGATATAAAAATGGTCTATCTAACATCATTCTAACCAGATAAGTGGAATTGCATGCCAAGTGTATGCCAAGTGTTTCATCGTGTCAGTTCAATTTCATCAGGTGACAAGCATCCATGCATCTGCATGTGAGCATGGTGGGGCCAACTCTGGTGACTGGTTTCACTCACTTTTATGCATATGCATGAGAAGACGACTACACACACAGGTGTATATATTGATTAAAAGCCATAGTGTGTTTTCTGTGTTGGAGTGCCTCGCAGAGAGAAAAAGCACTTCTAGCTAGAGAGAAGTGCTTTCAGTTTCACCTGGTGATAAACTTCTTCCTCTGCTCAAATCCTTAAGGTGTGTACTTGTTCTGGAGTCATCTACACAGACCTCATGACCATATTTACTCTGTTCAAAACCCTAATATGTTAGATCTATGTTATGTACTCTTAGATCCAATGTGTGCATGTAGTTGTCTCTTGTGATGATTTACAGTTAAATCTTTTATGCTAGTAAAGATCATCAGAGTTTTCTCTTCTTTTTTTTGTTGTGTAAATGCTTTATTTGATTCTTTCAGGACTGCTACAGAGAATTCAAGATCAAGCAAAATGGGAGCTGGGGGGAACATGGTCACCAAAACCAAGTCTAAAAAGCAAGAAGCCACCCACCAAAAAAGGGTGCCAGTCTCAAAACCTCCATTCACTCTAAGCCAAATCAAGAAAGCTATCCCTCCCCATTGCTTCAACCGCTCTCTCCTCCGCTCCTTCTCCTATCTCCTCTACGACCTCGCCTTATCCTTCCTCTTCTACCACATCGCCACCTCATACTTCCACCTCCTCCCTCACCCCCTCCTCTCCTACATCTCCTGGCCTCTCTATTGGATCCTCCAAGGCTGCACCCTCACCGGCGTGTGGGTTATCGCACACGAGTGCGGCCACCATGCCTTCAGTGACTACCAAGTAGTTGATGACACTGTCGGCCTTGTCCTCCACTCATTTCTCCTAACCCCTTACTTCTCCTGGAAATACAGCCACCGCCGCCACCACTCCAACACGGCGTCCCTCGAACGGGATGAAGTATTTGTTCCAAAACCTAAATCCAAAATTCCGTTTTACAACAAGTACTTCAACAACCCTCCAGGCAGGATCTTGAGTATTTTGGTAACACTCACACTCGGTTGGCCTTTGTACTTGGCGTTCAACGCCTCTGGCAGGGACTACGACCGGTTTGCGTGCCACTACGATCCCAAAGGTCCAATATTTTCGACCCGTGAAAGGCTTCAAATTTACATTTCTGATCTTGGGATTGTGGCCGTAACTTATGTGCTCTACCGCATTGCAATGGCCAAAGGGTTCGTTTGGCTTACTTGTATTTATGGAGTCCCATTGCTTGTAGTTAACGGGTTTCTTGTGTTGATCACGTACTTGCATCACACACACTCCTCGCTGCCGCACTTCGACGCGTCGGAATGGGACTGGTTGCGAGGGGCTTTGTCGACGGTGGACAGAGATTTTGGGGTGCTTAATAAGGTTTTCCACAATATAACAGATTCGCATGTGGTTCACCATCTTTTCTCTACAATGCCACATTACCATGCAGTGGAGGCAACAGAAGCAGTGAAGCCTGTCTTGGGAGAGTACTATAGTTTCGATGGGACTCCGGTTTACAAGGCCTTGTGGAGGGAGGCTAAAGAGTGCCTTTATGTTGAGCTGGATGATGAGGATAATGGTGGTGCTAAAAAAGGTGTTTTTTGGTACAAGAACAAGTTTTAATTGGAGATCATATGCATGAGTGAAGGAAATGTACTACGCAGTACGGACTATAGTGGTGCTATTTGGTTAATTTGTTATTTAGTTTAGTATTGTAATGTCATCAATAAATAAGCTTAGTGTAATGTCAATGAATAACTCGGAACGTGGATCTCTTTCAACTTTGATGATGAGCTAATTGGTCATTTTTCTCATGTTCGTTAGGTGCTAGTAGCCTAGTACGCAAATGTAATTCCAAATCCTAAAAAATGATCAAATTATACATATGAGCACTCAAGCGCTAACTAATTAGTATTTTAATATAAAACTAACCGCTTGTTTTAACACATTGAAGAATATTTTTCATAATCTAAACCGATCAATTTAGGTTACCATTGAAAGATTATTCATGCAAAAATTCACTAAAATCAGAACTCGTAATTATTTATCTAAGTGTGGCATGATTAATTACGAACACAAATTGTTGATAAACAATGAAATGTCCACAACAATAATAAAAGAGCTAAATGATCTCCGATTCAAATGAATTTTTTTGCAAGAATGTCCACAACAATAATAAAAGAGCTAAATGATCTCCGATTCAAATGAATTTTTTTGCAAGAATGATTTAGTGGTGATATTCTAAATTTTGAATGGTTCGGATCATGAAATTACTTTATGGAGTGAGCTCAACTGAGTAGGCATCGCTCTATTAAAATACTAACTGGTTAGAACTTGAGTGAATATAACAACAAATTAATTCCACCACAAGAAATAATTAAAGGCACAAGCAAACTATACATGGGTTAAATTCTATAACATGCAGGAAACAGTCCTGGGGGGAGGTAAATTGATTTACTACTCAAAGCACTTATGCTGCCACTGGGGCTGGGGCTGGGGCTGGTGATTTACTCAAACCACCCTTCACTACTACGTCACCACCACACATTTTCATGACATCATCCCCACTCCGACCACCATGTTGTCCTCACCTCATTATCACCACCATTGCTTCCGCCATCACCCCACCTCACCACCAACACTGCCACCGCCACCGCCCCCACCCACCGTTATTACTGTTGCGACCACTAACGTCAAATCGAAATCAAAACTTCAGATACATATTTCTAGTGAGGGAGGATCGGATGAGCAGTGCGATAAGTTTATACAGGGAAAATAGACCAACTCACTCTTGTTGTTACGATTGGGCCGGCTAGTAAAACCTCAACATAGTGAATTTGAATTGGACTGCTCTTTCGTCTCTCAGTCCATTAGATGGGACCCTTGGGCTAAGTTTCCTAGAGGCCCAAATCACGAACCATGTTGCATACTTCTACATATATTATATTAGGTAGTCCTATTCAGACAACTATTTTTATTTCTCACATATTTATTTTTCTGTAAAAAAACCCAAGTTTTAAAATTTCTAGCCCAAAACTTTAGGATGGAAATACCCCCTCAATGTAATTCGAATGGGAGCTAACACCGCGAAGCCCACCTTGACCTTGCAGGTAGGGCTCCTCGTGAATTAAACAATTAAAATTTTGAATGAATCATAACAAATTAATGAGAAAAATTAGTAAAAATATGTGGAAAGTAAAAATGCATGTGTAAACAACGATTTTTATTATCTCTACTAATTAATAAAACACTCATTGTCAATCAAAATCCTATAAAATTATCATTTTAACCCTCTAATTAAAACGTAATATGAATAAGAAATATGAAGCAGAAATGTAATTTCACACAACTAAATTTTGCTGTTGTAATGCTAACATATTTATGATTTAAAAAAAAAAACTTCTCACTCCTACATTCTCTATCACTCTCTTCCTCTCTCCTATTTCAAAAAAAAATAATAATAAAAAATAAAAAAATTTCTTACACACTTTGTACGTGCCCATATGCTCGTATTATATTAGAGGAAATTGTAGAAATGGTCATTCAACTTTAACCCAATTGGAGCAATGGTCCATCAACTCTATTTCTATGACCATTGGTCCCTCAACTTATCAAAATGTGTAGCTATGGTCATTTTTCTTAACACCGTCAATAACTCTGTTAAATTCAGCCATGTGCGTGGCACATGACACTAAATGTAAGGGCAATTTAGAAAACAAAATATTTCCTAGATAAAAGCATCCCCATCCCCAGCTTGAAGTCCATACCCATCCCCAGTTTGAATTCGATACCCCATCCCCAGGTTGAATTCGGAGTGTGCTTTATTGTCATTGAAAGTAATGTAATTCTCAATAATTAATGATAAACCAAATTTTTTATAAAGTTACAAAACGAATACATTTGTGACAAATGTGATTCGATTACCTTCCGAGTGATATGAAGCTGTTGAACCTGATGAATAACCACCTGCGGGTTGATATCCACCAACATAGGAGACCTGTTGATATCCTCCAGAGGAAGAATATCCAGGTGGAGAGTGGCCGCCAAAAGAAGAGTATGAATATGATGAATAATTTGTTTGTGGTTGTGGGCGGTATCCATATCCATAACCATACCCATAACTGAATGATGAAAATAGTCCTTTCTCACTAGTCTCAACTTCAACCTGGGGATGGGTATCGAATTCAAACTGGGGATGGGTATGGACTTCACGTTGGGGATGGGGATGCTTTTATCTGGGAAATAATTTGTTCCTAAATTGCCTTTACATTTAGTGTCATGTGCCACGCACATGACTGAATTTAACAGAGTTATTGACGGTGTTAAGGAAAAGGACTATAGCTACACATTTTGACAAGTTGAGGGACCAATGGTCATGGAAATAAAGTTGAGAGACCATTGCTCTAATTAGGTTAAAGTTGAGGGATTATTTATACAATTTCCTCTATTATATTATGTTCTCCATGTGAATGACGTGGACTGTACCAAAGAATGTATTTTTTTTGCTGGGGTCGAATAATTAGTACAATCTTCTTGAATAAGTTCAGTCGTTCATTCCCTGCAAGTCGTGTCAGTTCGCTCGTGCGGGTCCCGCGCTACTAAATCCTGGATTACAGACAAGCAAACCGACATCCATCTCTTATCCCAAAATAATTAGACAATGTTTGAAAGTCCTAAATTACCCTCCACGTTTTGCAATATTCCTCCACCCCATTCTTCTTATATTTATTTATTTAATTTTTTTAAAACAATAAAATGTTATTATTACCATTTATTCGTACAATCTTTCTAATGGAGACGGAACTCACATACTTTGACGAGTCTTATAGAGATGATATAAGTAATAGTACAACTAGACAACTAGACAACTTAACAAATAATATCCAAAAATACTTCTACAACACACTCACAACGAGCACAATTCTCCAAAGTTGGGTATTGAATTCTGGATGACAACCAATCGTGTTTGAATTTAATCTAGTTCTCATTTTTTGCATATCAAACGCATCACAAATACATTAACTTTTTCATCATCCAAACAAATTGAAATTGAAACTTTAAGTGAAGATACCTTAAGTAAACAAAAATTAGTTGACCCTCAATAGCAGTGAAGATGAGTGAAACTCTTACACCACAGCTTGAGTTCGAACCCGTCTATTACTTAATCTGACAAATCTATAGATCGAAAAAAATAAATCCTGAGCTCCACTGTTAGGCTATTAGCTTTTACGGCAGTTGGACATGTGTTGTTATTACCGTTTTGACCCTACTGCTTTCCTATTTGGTGTCGTTTGGTAGGGCAGAAGAGGAGTGAAGTAAAAGCAACGGATGACCAAAATTGTCTATTCATTATTTCCAAACCAACCTCGGATACTTCCGAATCTTTAACCTTTGTGAAATTCAAAAAATGTTGTGACCGAAGTACCCATTGCCCTAATTACAATTTTAACCCCAGCAGAGGAGCAGTGGAGTAATCTCCAAGGGCACTACAGTCATTTAAAACATGCAAGATGGCAAGCAAGCAAGGGCAATATCGTAAAACTAGATTTCAAGAATGTGGGCCCACAAGTTGAAAAAATAAAGTAGAAAAATTCGCTTTCGTGAGGAAGAGCATTCCAGCAGCAATGAGATATAGTAAGCTTTCTCTCTCTCTCTCTCTCTCTCCTCTCCTCTGCTCTCTCTCTCTCTCTCTCTCTCCTCCACCCTTTTGCTTTCCCTTCGTTTTAAGCTTAAACTTGCAGCATCCCCCCTCTCTATCTGCTTTCCAGTTTCTCTCTCCTAGGGTTTCTTCTCCACTGTAAAGCACTCATCTTTCTGCTGCTTTTGTAAAGCTCTTCCCTTTCCCACATTCTTTTTCCACTCGCATTCTCTATATTTTTACGTATTTTTTTTTCAAATTTTTGGTAATTATTAGCATTTAATCTCTCTCTCTCTCTCTCTCTCTCTCTTGCATGTTTCAGATGCTGGATTTCATGGCTTAGCTTCTCTTCTCCGGTGGTGACGGTAATCTCTCTCTCGCTATTTTTTATGTTTATTTAAGTTTGTAGCTTTATTTTTCTGTTATTTGTTCAAATTTTGATTTTTTTTTTGAAATTTTCTTTTTTGGTTGGAATTTTATATGTTTTAGTAGGAAGGACCAGTAGTGTGATTGAGCTCTGAAGTTTTGATAGGAAGTGAAGGAGGAAAATGGCGTCGTCGTCGAGAGGGGGTGGTTCGGAACAGCCACCTCAGCAGCCACTGCAGAGGCGGATAACCCGAACCCAGACCGCCGGGAACCTTGGGGAGACGGCATTCGACAGTGAGGTCGTGCCCTCTTCCCTTGTCGAAATCGCTCCCATTCTTCGTGTTGCCAATGAAGTCGAATCGCACAATCCTAGAGTTGCTTATCTCTGTAAGTTTTTCACTTTAGTGAGTTGCTTGTTTGGAATTGCGAATTAATGAGTTTTAAGTATTTATTTTCATCCGGGTCTGTTTCTTCATTTGCATTTTGGAGATTATTCAATTTTTGTATGCAGTTAGTACCTAACTAATGCTTAGGCAATTAAACTTAGCCTTTTTTTCGCATGATCGTTTATGCATTTTATGCTCGGTTTGATTGCACATGCACACACGGTTGTTTCTCTGCATAGGTGGATGTGTGGCTTCTTTGTAAGAGCGTTTTCCGTATCTAATAGTTACGAATGGAGGATTCATCTATGTATTGATGCTTTGGAGTTTGTCTAGTTATGTTAGAAGTCTGTTATATTTTTCAGAGATTCTATGTGTGCACGTTGCAAGGTCAGATTTGAGTTATGTTGTCTGATATG